CTTTATACGAAATTTCCTCACTTCACCCAGGTGGGAATGGGTACCCGGCTATAGACAGCGAAAGATCTTGTCAGTTTGTTAGTGTTTGAGTGCTTAATCAGCTGCTTGCACTGTATGCTTCCCGGGAAGCTGAGCATGTTTCGGAGTGTTCTTTGGTTTGCTGGGGTAATAATATAGTGTAAAGCGCATAGAGTCTTCTGTTGAGCGGGGATATGCGCTATACAAATGCTTTTTATTATTATTATTAAGAAAACTGAAATAAAAAATCTGAGAACTGATTAAAATGGCAAAACTGTAGGCCTACTCTCAATGAAGAAGTTGTGGTTGTCCGTATAATTCATTGTGTCTTGTACTTTGGATAAATCATGGAATGCTTTTTCTGATTGCTTGCATGGAAAGATTAAAGGGGCATTCATGAAGGTACCCAGCCGCCTATGTGGCTCGTCGTAACGTGTCTGTCCTTAAGTGTGTACCTAGCTGCCTATGTGGCTCGTCGTAACGTGTCTGTCTTTTAGTGTGTACCTAGCTGCCTATGTGGCTCGTCGTTACGTGTCTGTCTTTTAGTGTGTACCTAGCTGCCTATGTAACACTTTGTAACGTGTCTGCCCTTTAGTGTGTACCTATGTAACACATCAAACTTGTCTATCTGTAAGTGTGTTCCTAGTGGTCAGTGTAACACATCGGACTTGTCTATCTGTAAGTGTGTTCCTAGTGGTCAGTGTAACACATCGGACTTGTCTGTCTGTTAGTGTGTACCTAGCTGCCTATGTAACACTTTGTGACTTGTCTGTGCGTTAGTGTGTACTTAGTGGTCTATGTAATCAAGTGTCTATCTGTAAGTGTGTTCCTAGTGGCCAGTGTAACACATCGGACTTGTCTATCTGTTAGTGTGTACCTAGCTGCTTATGTAACACATCGGACTTGTATATTAGTGTATTCCTAGCTGCCTGTGTAGTCAAGTGTCCATAATTATGTTAGTGTGTACTCAGCTACTTATGTAACACATGAGATGACTTGCCTATATGTAAGTGTGTTCCTAGTGGCCTATATAACATTTAATGACTTGTCTATCTGTCAGTGTGTAGTCTGTAGCCTGTAGCCTATATAACACTTAATGACGTGTCTATCTGTCAGTGTGTACCCTGTAGCCTGTAGCCTATATAACACTTAATGACGTGTCTATCTGTCAGTGTGTACCCTGTAGCCTGTAGTCTATATAACACTTAATGACGTGTCTATCTGTCAGTGTGTACCCTGTGGCC